CTTTCGTGCTTGTCTCAGGCCACCGTCCCACCCGCACTTATAGGTGAGGTCTCGGGGCCTGCTGTCTGCCGGGACCCTGGTGCTGCGGGCTGCGACCCTGCCCCTCCGCTCAACGGGGCTCTGCCTTGCCGCGGGCCTCCATCAGCGCCCCTCCCAGCCCAGCCCCTCTCCCACCAGGGCCTTCGGTCCGGATCCCGGGTCCCGGTCCCGAGGGCCCTCAGCAGCGAGGCCCGAGTCTGCTCCCGGCGTGCTCCTGGTTCCCAGCTGGGGAGGGGTCCCCACGGAGACCCCGGGGCCAGGCCCGCAGGGCCGGTGGGCGCACAGCGGGGTGGCAGGCAGGGTCCTGCTCCCCAGTCCGGGGCCCCCAGCCTGGTCTGGGTCGCTGGGGTGAGCCCCACTTCCCACGGACAACCCGGGGGCCAGTGGGAGATGCAGTCTCTCCTCCTACCAAGGCAGAGCGGCCTCCGCCTGCCTCCACCTCTGCCCCAGCCCCCAGGCTTTCAGGCACAGCTGGCGGCGACAGGGGACAGCCCTCAGAGGTTCCCAATCACAGGTTGTGAAATGGGGCCTTCCCAGCAGGAGTTTGGCAGAGCAGGTGCTCCTGGCGCCCCCACCCTTGGCCCACCCAGGAGGGGGATGTTGGAGAGTGGGGGGTTGCTTCTTCAAAGGGAGGGGCGTCAGTGTGGCAGAGGGGTCAGAGGAGGGAGGGGGGAGGGAGGGGTGGTTGGCTGGAGCCCCTCCAGTCTGCAGCAGCTCCCTCTGCTTCCCCACCTGCCTCTGGACCCTGAGCTGCGTCTCCCGAGGGGTGCGCCCCTGAGCCAGGGCCTTCACTTCTCCTGGACCGCCCTGGAGGGCTTTCCCCTGTCCCTGGGTGCCCCCCAGGCCAGAGGGGAGGAGGAACGGGCCAGCCAGGTGGGCAGCCGCCCCTGTGGACCCGATGCTGGGCCATGTCCTTGGCGCTGTCTTTGGGTGCCCTGGGAATGGGGACAGGGGCCAGGCCCTGGACAGAGCAACTGCCCCTCCCCCCATGGCCCGCCACAGACCCCCCAGCAGCCCTGGGGCATCGGGGTCCTCCCCCCTTCACCAGGCCCGGGAGGGAGGTTTCCGCTCTACCCCACCCCTCTGCTCCCCTGGTGAGTAAGGAGGTCTTCTCGTGTGTAAACGGCAGGGTTCCCTGATGGCTCGGTGTCTGTTCTCTCCTGCTGCCCCGTGGACCCTCAGCCTCCAAGGGCCTTGCCGCACGGTTCAGTCCAGCCCCGTTTTCATTTGGGAAACTGAGGCCTGGAGGGTGGGGTCTCCCCAGGCCACCAAGGAGGCAGAGCTGGCCCGGCCATGGGTCCCTCTGG